ATATTATTTTATTATTATACATTTTTATTAATTGTTTAATATTTTCAACTTTTTTATATTCAATAAATTTTATAATAATATTATAATAATATTATATTGAATATAATAATATTTAAGATATAAAATTTATTTGGAATATTAATTTGCTAAATTGTTTTTTTTAAAATTTTTATTATGTTAGATAATATAAGAAACAAAAGCTTACTTGATATTATGCTTTTTTGCCCACCCAATTGGAAATATATATGGATGTCCTACTGTACAAAGCCAAGTATTTTTCTCTGTACTATTATACATACATGTTTCAATATCCATTCCCTTAGATAATTCATCATATGTATCAATATGTACAAGAAAATAAATATCATCAAATATTTTTATAACAGTGGCTGGACATATTTTTATCTGATCAATTGGACTTAATGCTTCTAATTTCATGCCAATTTTAAATTCATGTTTAGAATGATTTATAGTATTATGAAATAATTCTTCAGGAAGATCATAATTTTTTGGTGTAGATTCTAATAAATCTTTCCATTCTTCATATGTATGTGTTTCTACTATAGAACTAGGTGGTTCTAAAAACCAGGTAGAATCAGATTTAGATGTAAACCCATAGGGATGCAAATGTTCTGATGTACAAAACATCCAAAAATCTTTACGTGAAGAACCAGGAGTATCATATCTTAACAAAAGTCGTCCTCCTACATTTTCTATGATCTGAAAAAATATTAATTAAGAAAATTAATTAAGAAATAATAATTATAAATAATATATATATATTATATCTATATATATAACATATATAACATAAAACTTATATATTATTTCTTACTGTGGCTACCCATAATTTATATGGATGTAATATATCACTAACTTCAACTTTCATGCCTTGCTTAATTCTCTCTGTCATGCTTAAACCATCCTAAACAAAAATAAATATATAAAAAAAATATAAAATTTAATTATAATTTTTTTATAAAATTTTTTTTATAACTTTTTTAACTAACTCCTGATAACATTTCTGATGGAATACTCCGGGCTGTTTTTAAAAATTCAGATAATTTTTCTATACAGTCTGATGATCTTTGACGAATAATATCAGGTGGTTCTAATTTTTTATTATTTTTTACACACCATCCAAGTTCATGAGCAGCTTCTTTAGTGAGGTTGAACCAAAATTCTAATGACCTATCATCTCCACCAAAATAACGTAATCTTAATAAAGGTCCACATGCCATTACAATAGAAGCTATCCAATAGTTAATATTTTCTTCATTTTCTTTTTTTGGAATTGGCACTTCAAGAGACATACCAATTTCAATACCACTTTGAAGTGTCAATTCAACATGTGGAAACATAATTTGTGGTACTTCAACACTATTTGTAGCATCAAGATAATCTTGCCAAAAAAATCCATATTCTGAAAAACAAATTTTTATTTTAAATTTTATAAAATAAAATTTTTTATTTATTTCATTTAATAAAATTATAAATATTTATATTAATAATTATATTATTTATTTTTAATTATAATATATATAATATAATATATTAAATATCATTATAAATATATTAAAAATTAAATAAACTTAAAAAATTAAAAAATTAAATAAATTCTANATATTTTTTAATATTATATTTAATTTTTATATATTTAATATTCATAAATAGAATTATATAAATATATAAAATTTATCATTATTATGACGATATGACTAATTAAATAAAATAAATTTTCTTTACGCGTTTCATTAATGATTTTATTGATTTTGCAATCCTGTAAGATATATATTAAAAACTTTTTGAATGTGTGTGATGTCAGGTAATAGAATCAACGATCAACAGTCGGAATCATTTCAAAAACTTTAGAAGGTTACTGAATAATCATAATTTTATTATAAATAATGTTCATGTTATATAATAAAAATTATGCGAATAACAATATAAAAAAATTGCAAGTATAAATTAATATTACCTCCTTCTTGTACTTTCTCTTGTAATCGGTTTTCGCAAGGTTCCATGATTCGTTATAATATTATAAAGCCTACACATAAATACATTAAAATCAATTTCCATTGCGGCCACGTTAATAGATAACTAACAAGTTATTATTTAGTTTTATATGTTTCTAATAAATCGTTGAATATTTTACAACTTACCTTTTTTTAGTGAGCGCTTATTTTCGAAATTTACGTAGTGTTTGTTTTAATGAAAAATAGTATTCTCAATTGTAGCTGTCCGTGCCGCTCTATACTGGTCTACCGTACGTATCTTTCTCTGTTGTTTGCTATCTCACTTGTGCGGTACGCTTGGCGCATTCGTTCTGAATATCAGCTACCTACATACTTTGAATTGGGTAATATTTTGAATTACTTTCGATTATATTTTGTGAAACTACCACTAGCCTCGTTCTACGTCTATATCTCTTATATTAATTCATTGTAATCCTTCATTAGAACTAATAAATATATTACGATATATTCATAAATTTATACTTACATGTTTAATTTTTTATATCGTATGAGATATAATTGTTTATAATTATCCGCTAGATTACATTTTTCATTTCAACGTTCGCTATACGTTTATCATCAATCACGAGAAGGACATTATCGATCTTTTAAACGATAAGTTTTGCGAGTTTTACTGATCGCTAATTATAAAATTGTATAAAAAATAAAATAGAAATTAAAATATAATGTTGTTCTTTATATATCTTATTTTTTTTAATAATATAACACATTATAATTCATTATTTGATAAAATAATAATTGCAATAAAGAAAAAAAGTTTGCTAAGCGCAGCAGGCATTTTTATACTTATAATTAATAAACTTGTACTTCAAGTTGTTGTTATTTTAATTTAAACACATGTTCGTTCATATAAGGAAGATGATTACAAGAAGTTTGAATACACTTATTTAATACTTATAATAAATAATAATAAACTTTTTTTAATATATTTGTAAATGGTAACAATATTAATATATTTTTATGAATATTATGTTTTCTTTAACAGTTATTATTTATATTATAATATTATATAGAAAAGAAAGAAATATTAGAAGTGAATTGTATATACTCATTAGAAAATCGATATAATTGATACGACACACTTTTCAATCTAGTTTTCTACACATGCTACATATGTATATAAATATATAAATTTGTTGAAGTAAATAACAATCATATATAATAATGATGTTAAGATAATATAAAATTAAAGAATTCCATATAATATTGCATACATATCTCTAATACATGTCTTTTTAAAATAAATTATATTTTTGATTTCAATTATAAATATTAGAAAGTTAGAAAAAGAAGTATATACGTATGATGTTTTTTAATATTGTATGAAACTGAATAGACATAATTGAATCAAGATTGTAAAAATTATCGAAATGGTGGCACAATTTACTGTTACCAACAGAGAAAAATTAAGACATCATTCTCAATTAAATATTTCATTTTTTTATATTCAATATATGTCATTTTTTATATCCAATTTTATGAAAATATTAACTTTCCATGTAAATATGAATTCCTATATTTTAAATTAGATAATTTAGATTTATTTTAAAAATATCATTTTTAAATGTAACAATTTATACTTTTTTAATGTTTCCTGCACTGATAACACATGTTTTTGATAGCAAATTTGTCGCTCTCTTCAGTTGTAAATATAATAAGGAAGGAGATTGTATTTTTGTTGTAATGATATTGAATTTTGCAAAACATAATTTTTTATTGTTATAAAATTTATTAAAATATGTTATTTTTTATGAAAAAATATACTTTTAATATTTCTCAATATTATAGAAATTTTATATGTAGAAATAAATTATTTGAATTAGGTTATCCATTATTTTTTAATCTCAATAAGCAAGTTTTACTTATATATAATTTATTTAATTCAAAAAGTAATTTATCTATAACTAATGCAAATATTAAAAAATATTTAAATTATCTTATGAACGCATATCAAAATGAGGATGAAAGAAAAGGGAATATTTCTGAAATTCTTAAATTACCTGAAATTCCACCATTATTGAATGAAAAAACTAAAATAATTGAGAATATAAAGAGTTTAGATGATTTTAGTAAGTATTATACTTTTATTTATTATCATATATATTTTCATATATTTATAAATTAAAAATTCTTTTCCTTAATATTATATTTAATAAATTATATTATTTATATCTTAGTAAATGGCAATGAAGAACTAAAGAATCTTGCAAAAGAAGAAGAATTAACATATATGCAACAGCTATTACAGATTGATGAAGAAATTTTAAATATTATTATAAAATATATAGATGTAGAACATTATGATAATATTATTATGGAAATAGTACCAGGTGTAGGTGGTCAAGAAGCTATGTTGTTTGCTAGAGATTTATTAAATATGTATATTAACTACTTTGATCATATAGGATTTAATTATGAAGTATTAGAAATATCAAATAATGAAATAAATGGATTAAGAAAAGCTACTCTGCTTATATCTGATAATAATGCATTCAAAAAGTTAAAATATGAAAGTGGTGTACATAGAGTACAAAGAATTCCTGCAACAGAGAAATCTGGTCGTTTACATACTAGTACAGCTGTTGTAACAATCTTACCAGAACCTAAAGATGTAGATATTAATTTAGAAGAAAAAGATTTGATAATAGAATCAAAAAAAGCATCTGGAGCAGGAGGTCAACATGTAAATACTACAGATTCTGCAATTAGAATAACTCATATACCTACTGGTACAATTGTGACTTGTCAGACGAATAGATCTCAAATAAAAAACAAGCAAATAGCATTAACAAAATTAAAAAGTGTGTTATACCAGGAAGAATTAAATAAGCAAGTTTCGTTCATTAATCAAATACGTAAGAAACAAATAGGAAAAAGATTGAGAAATGAGAAAATTAGAACATATAATTTTAATCAAGATCGGGTTACGGATCATAGAATTCCAAATGGTACAATCCATAATTTGAAAGAATTCATGAAAAATGGAAGAGCTCTGGAAATATTAGAGGATAGACTTTATAAAGATATGCAATCAAAGATTATGCTGGAGATTATAGAGGACATGTTAAGTCAATTAAAATAATAGTTCAACATTTATCATTTTGATAAGAAATCTTCATTTTATATAGGCAAGCCATTGTACATAGCAAATTGTAATAAACTCTGTGTAATACAAGTAACATCATTCGTTTTTCGGATGGAAACTCGCCACGTCTCTTAATATTAAATCCTTTCTGTTTCGCTTTAAGGAAGCAGAGAGCTAGTGAAGTAGAGAGTTCAGTTGTTTATTTGAAAAACATACAACAATATTTTTGTCCTTTTTTTTTTTTTTGTTTCATTTTGTTTCTTAACCGCGTGTCCAAAGGCACACATCCTTGTAACTCTCGTATAATACATTAATATACAAAATTAATATTCGTAATCTCTATAAATATCAAACGACACGTTTTACATCGGTTAATGTACAAAGCACAAAATGTGTATATGTGTATGTGAATGTATCTCATAGTGTTATGAACGTGTGATTTTTATATACGACCCTGCTCCGATATATAATTTTCTATAAAATTCTATTTACTTGAATACTTCAAAAAATAACATTAGCGACTAAGACGAACGATGTATAACGATGTAGGTACATCCTACACCTACGAACATTTCTTGAGCGAATTAACTTCCTCTTTTGTATCACATTAGATCTACATCTTAAATGTGTCATATGTATTCTGGCCGCTCTAGAATTTTCCACCTACATACGTATAGATTGGTCGAATGTATAGTTTGTAAAACAACTAGTAATAACAGTATTTGAATAAACAGTATTTTATGTCTTTCTGTTCAATATTTTTATATTTTCTTTTTTGTCAAAAAAGCATATTTTTGATTACTTTTTCTTATCTCTGTAGATGAATGTGAATTTATAAAGTTTTGATTATTTTTTTCATTTTCTTTTAGATTTTGGAATGAAAATAATAAGTACTATAAAATTTTCGGGAAATTTGATTAAGTTAAAAATGATAGTTGATTAATGATATTCTAACCGATTTTACATAGTTCGATTCTATAGATCTATTTTCTGTTATAATTTAAATATCATCAAAGTAACAAATTAAGTAGTTGAATGAAATTGTAATTGGAAAATAAAAAATAGAGCAGGAACGTATATGAAATAGACATCGCATTGCATTTCGGGCAGTAAGGTTGTTCTTTAGGACTAGTTCGGCACCGATTCACGGGTATACATCCTATTTAAATATCGTTAACCCTGATCCCGTGACATAGTTTAATCCTCGAGGTACATTGATGATTGGACCAATTAATGTAGATACAGACCCTGCCTGCAGTATCGTCAAAATACCATCTGAGGAGACAGCACCAGGACTCGGAGAACTTCTCCTTATTACAACATTACTATAAATTATCATAAATATTAGTACATCTTGGAATCATGATAACTATAAAGACAAAAAACAATTGATTCATAATGAATTGTTTTTTTCATTGATAACTTATAATGAAATTTGGCAAAGATAAATACTCGCAATCCTCCCGAAAAACGTTTTAATGGCATCTATATATTATATAATATGAACGATCGTGAAGATAATTTTGTTAAAAGAATTAGCAGCATTTTTGAAATTTAATTAATCATCTCTTATTTTTTATCATCGATTTTAAATCGATAAGCAATATATCATCCTAATAAAAAATTAATGTTGACCAAGGACAATTCGTTGAATCAGAGAACAGGTTATCGACAAAAGAAAAAAGAGGTAGATATTTGGTGTCATATTCGAAGCTAAACCGCAAAGATCTTTGATCTCGCTCTCCCTCGAATGACTGCGAATACAAGATTGAGGTCTCTTCCGTTTTAAGGAAATGAGTGCTTTCTGACATACTAGCGAATTATTCTCATAAATTATTTCTTCTGGAATGACGCTCAAAGGAGGTATAGTTGTCTCTGTGCAGGCTGTGTTAACGACAAGAAGAAGCATATTGCTGTAGTTTACCGGTTGAACGATATATGGCCTCATACAATCTTTTTTTACATCTGAATCTATGTCGAACATGTCGAAAGATGCATTTCGTAAATACAAATATACCTAAAAGAATTGAAAGAAAGATAATATAATTTGAATATAGAATAAAAAATTTAAAAAAATATATTATAATATATATTATATAGTTGATATATCATAAAATTTACCTCTTGATCACAAGCTTCTGGTCTTGTTCGATTGATCAAAACTTTTTGATCGAATAATTTCTCATCTTTTGCATCAACTGGTGGTTTCTCTTCATTATCTTGATATTCTTCATGGATACCTTCATCCTCGTTTGGATAAGCATATGCGTACTCGGATTCCCAAATTCCAGC